TAACTGAGTATTATATGCATCAAGTGCATTTTGCAGATTTTTTTTTGAAATTCTGTACCTATAACTGTTAACAAATATTCACTCTTACTCTCATCTAGAACTTAGATTTACACAATAAGAACATGAAATACAGTTTTATTACTGCATTGAAAATGATTTAGACTACTGAACTCAGTCAATCAAAGAGATTGAGGGTGACAACAATCATTGTTGATTGCATTCTTTTGAGAAACACAAAGGAAATAAATTCTGTATGTTATTAGTGGATGCATAAAGGTGAGTAGATGGAGTTTTACCACAATCTGCTCTTGAATCATTGTAGGTCGACCGATTCATGTCTAGTTTCAATAATGACAGATTCCAATCAAGTATAAAGACGACTTTATATAGCCGCTACGTAAACTTAAATTTCAGGCAGTGCAAGATGGATGGAAATACGCAGAACTAGTTATCAGGATTTATTAGTTAAAATAAATTGATCCACGTTACGCATGCACTCGACAGTCAGGACATAGTTTCTGTTGGACTTGGTGCTGAATAGAATAGCATATAAGTTTAAATTGACAGAGGAGTAAACGCATTCTTTCGCTTTCTCACATTTTAATAACTTTAGTCAGGTGCTTAACAAGCAGGTTTAAAATGATATATCCCATTGACTTGTTGACTGAAATATATTGGGAAATAATGGTCATCCAGAAAATAGTGTCAGGAATATAATGAAGTTTTTAAAAATACTTCAGTTTCGATTTCACAATAAAGAAGAAATTTTGTTTTGGAAGAATTCACCAGCCGCTTATGAAGAAAACAAATCAATAATTCTGATATCAACATACAAAAATGCTATGCAAGCAAGCATATTACAAATTATACTTTAAAGTATGGATTTCAGCGTAAGTTAATGTGTATGTATAGACTTAAATTTTTAACTAGAGTATCGACTCAAGAACCTCGAAGAAATATGTTAACTCCTTTCTTGTTCTCGTTTACCCTATAGAATGTTGTCATTGTATTTTTTTACTTTCAAATTTATACTACTTAGTATTTTTGTGTAGTATAAATTGTTCCACTATAATGTTACTTCATCCACAGTTTTGATTCTTCATTCCGTTCAATCGTATCTTGTTCAGCACTTAACAACCCTAGATATTAGAACCTCTACCAGTTCATGATGGTGCTGCAACTTCTTTTGCTCTTCCATAATATTCTATTTTACCTTGAAGATTTGTTTATCTTGCGTCGTTACCTCACTGTGAGAACTTATACGCGTCTTTCATATTTCCTTCTAGTTGCTCGGAGACAGCTTTGCTGTTTTTACAGTTGTCGTGCTCTTTGTAAAGTGTTTTGACAGCGACAAACCTACAGATACCTCACGATTCGAGGTTTGTATTTCATCAGTAAATATTGTTTATTAGTAGAGAACCGTATTTCAGATAAATCCTATGTTTTGGATTTTAAGCGTAACTCGAGTGTTTGGTCTATTGTTGAGAAGTCACTTGTTTGTTTTGGTACCAAATTTCTTGAAAAGAAATTCACAAAGTATTTATCAACAAGGTTAAGCAAAAGGACAAAGATCATCAGCTTCTGCATACAAGTAGCTTTTTTCTGAGACTAGCTGTTTAGTTAAAAGTAATTTGTATGAAGTTTGGCAAGCATTTCAATTTCGACCCATGGACATTTCTCTATTTATATACCGACTTAGAACAGAATCTTATTGCAACTAAAAATGTTGGTATATGCTCAGAGACAAGTTTTTGTCAAGATAAATCCGTTACATCATATGCAAACCTATATCTGAATAAGATTTCAGATTGATACTGATTGTAGCCCACTGAGTTTGCGATACACTCGCAAAGAGGGGACTGGAACGATGGTTGGAACAATCCAAGAAAAAGTTCAACTGGTCTCCAGCTACTACTCCGTGATCCCCTGTCCAGTCGGACTTTGAATGGAACACTGAGACGGGGCCTCCAACAATCTCAGTTTCGTGAAAGATAGTATCGGAAGTATTTAAGGACGGCGGTCATAGATTATTGGACAGGTTAACTGAAGTCGTAGCTAACATATAGTGCTGATATCTGATTTCCCTTGACTGGTCTCAATTACTGATTGTCTCAGTCTTCAAGAAAAGTGAGGAATTCAATCACGATAGTCACAGAAAAATCATTCTGACGAACTTAGTGTCTAAGAATCTGGCTTATATTATCGTGAGACGTCTAAGTGGAACTCAAGAATAGCGAACACGAGAAAATGAGGCAGGTTTCAGACCTGGTTATGAGTGCTTCGACAAAACATCTCACACCCTGCCATACAGACACAATTAGCGAGGTCCGATACTGGCTGATTTTCTCGACCCGAAGGCAGCATTCGACTCCGTCGATGGAGTGGACTTATGGCAGTATCTCTCATCGGATAGGTTGCCGAGTAGATACATTACTCTGTTGAAGGCTTTTAACTAGAACACCTATAGGTATTAGAGTTTATGGCAAGTTATCAGGTGAGTAGTGTACGTCAAGTAGTGTCCGCCAAGGATGCCCACTATCCCTACTCCTACTCAATTTTATCATGGACGTTATTATAGAGGTCTCCTCTTTGTCTGACTTTGCCGTGTTACACAAAACTCACCAGTAAACCTGGCGTACGCAGATGATATATTCCTGTTAGATAAAAGCGTTGGTAACATGCAGTCTTCTTGATAGCTTGAGTGGCAATTTGAGAAAGTTTGGGATGCGTTTCTTACCACTGGAATGCAAACTGATGTCCCAAAATTTGTCCATCTCGATGCCTAGTTCACCGATTGAGCACCACTTCAACCCAGGTGGGTCAGTGACCGACGAAATTTCGGTAATGGTATAAGAGGCTAGAATGGTCTTTATAAATTATGCCATTTATCGTCCTACTGTAATTTTCAGTTGCCCGTGAGGGTCGACAGAAATGCGCCACAGTTAGTTCCGCTCTGTTATTCGGCTGTGAAACATGGATATAAAAGGTAGCTAGCATGAGAACACTTCAGGGGTTGATACGGCTGAGAAACATGGCCGTCGGAACTAGAAGACATGAAGCAGTTGCAGGGTTTGATCATAGGTGTCTTCGTAGTATTGCTCACATTTGGTGGAGTCACTGTGTGAGCGATGTTGAGGTCAGGCGAAGGATAAAAGGCAAGAAAGACAAGTCGATTGATGAGGTTGTGTAGCTTAGTCGACTGAGATGGCTTCAACATGTACTCTGCACGTCGAGCCACCGCCTACCTACTTCGACGTGCCCTGATAGGGGAAGTTGGATTGAGTTGGAAGAGGGTTCAGGGTGGTCAGACCAAGACCAAGACCTGGTACCAGTTCATGAAGTCTCTGACTGTTGATCTGAGTCATACGGGGCAATGTAGACTGTCTGGTTGGGGTCCTAAAGACGACAGGAATCAGTGGTGAAATAGCTCAACACTGGTCACAATGGTACAAATGTATCTACTTGACATCTAAAGCTTGAATATTCACAATAACCTTCATCTTCAGATTGTCCATTCTCTCACACTACTCTATCTTTTTGATATCACTCCTTCTATCCACCTGTTCTTTGTGTACTACTGTAAAGTGTGGCGACTTGAGTCGGTGCACCTGTGTGCGAGGTTGTACGTTGATTTTGTCAGTCAGTGTCAGTTAGCTGTTCGAACACAGTTGTCTTAGCAGCACAGCCAGTGAGTCATGAAACCACCATATCAGTAGTCAGAAGTTAGGCTCAGAGTGCTAGATAAAAGAGACATGTCGGTCGGTCTAACTGTGAACCTTCATCGACTCAAGTGTCTGAGATATTTATTACAAATACCTAACCACCGTCTGCTCCGTTAACTGAGGTAGGTTTAGACTGAAAAAAAGTTAAATGCAGCCTCAGTAAAACATGGCCTCAGTTCATAAGTCTTCGATCGTTGGTGTAAACCATCCAGGGAAATGTAGACTTCCCAGCTGGGTTTCATACGAAAACCGAAACCGGTGGATAGGAACTTAAGTTGATATAGCTCAAAATCAATCCCAATGGCATAGGCGTATCCATATATTGTGTCTATCTTAATCATCATACTGAATTTCAGCATTTTTTCGATCCTCCTTGTTCGCCTTACACAACTTTGTACCACGTTCGACTGCTTTCTTTCTTGCTTCTTTATGTTTCATCTTGGTTCATTCTCACTTAATGCATTGATATGCGGTGTGTGGCAACTTGGACCGTTGTTAAGCAGTAATATCAAGTTCTATGTTGATATCAACTGATAACAAGTTACAATATCTGCTTTCAAACTGCCTAACTGCATGATCACATTTCTTTTATATTTGACCGCGATTAATGATCAGCGCTAACTATAGCTTATAAAGTTACAAAACCTTGATGGATTAGAGCAGTCCAGCATTTCGATTACTTTAGTCACACATCAGGTTATGTCATCCGAAATTACGAAAAGAAAGCGAACATTAGTAAAACAGTCTGAAGACTTTTAACATCGTTACGTTTGCCATCAGTGGTATATTCTTAAGACAGCTTGTCAGTTATCCGTTGGAAATAAACCACATCTAGAACAGTGGTATTCCAAAGTCAATCAAGTGATAACAATGAAGCATTGCACTCCACCTTTTGGATGCTGTAGTACAAACTCTTCTACTTTAAGCACCTTAAAATATGATAGTCTGCAATCAAGTAACAGTGCATACGGGTTTAGTTAAATTAATTTTGATTTACACTATGTAAAATCACGTTTGAAAGTCATATATACGCCGTTTCTATTCCTATTACTCAAGTTCCTCTCTATGCCTTATATGCTGAGTACAAATTCCTGAAATCCGATGAAGTAAAAGTCACTGACAGTCAAGGTACTCAAGTTACAGATTACTCGTTAGCTGCTAAACACTTATCCAACAAATCCTAATTATCTTTTGTGAAGTAGCCCGTCATTTCAGCACTATCGTAAACATAAACAACAGACTAGCCAATTGGACCAAAGAATCCAAGGAATGAAATTATCAAAACTCAAGAACCAACCGTGTAGTTGATGCATGACCCATTATGTTTCCACCAATAGGCTTCTTTGGATCAGCAGAGAACATAGCAGCACCATCAACTTGGGCAACAACTTGATTAGTTATTACAACAGCAACACCAAATTCGTCCGCCAATCGTAATAATGTACGTAAAAATCTAGCCAAATGCATTTGACGAGCTGATAACTCCCCACGACCAGAATAGTCAGTACGATAAAGAGCTGTCGCGCTATCGACAACCAGTAATGCATATCTGAATCGGAAAATAAAGTAGATTGGGACTAGTGAACAGTTAAAAACTGGAAAAATTCCAAGAAGTAACCCAAAAAATAATCAATTCAGAATGTGTTATGTGATCCAGAAATATGACTTTTGATCAATGAGTCGTGAGTCCAAACCTCGCCCAAGCAACCGAAGTTTAAGCAATCAGGTGGCATTCCCAGACCTTATACAATAGATTTAGCTCATTGCCTAGTGTACAAACCCTCACGTGGTTGCTAAGTTGTTTCCTCGCAAGAACCCATACAAGACTGATAAGTTGCACATATTTTTCTTGAACAAATAAAGTTCACAATCAAGTGTTCAAAGGTGATAGAAACACCCAGATCCACAACTAGTGTTAAGTACTACTCAGTCAAACATCGCAGATCAGCCATTTTCATGATAGATAAAACTACAGAATTGTTGCATTACTCAAAATTAACTGGTGTAAGATAATCAAAATGTGTCGTTCACAATTATAGCGTAAGTAGTCTTAAATCAAAAACACAAACTCCTTAGAAATCATGTGGAAAAATATCACAATTGCTTTCAAAGTGAATAGTCCGCGTCAACAATTCTAAAAACTGAATAGTTTCCAAATATACAATTATAACTAGGCTAACAGAGATGTTGACGGGAATTAATCCAGTAAGACAATTTAGTTCTTCAACTCAGAAGGCAAAAACACTGATAATGTCCATCAACTACTTGGTCGAAGTATTCCCGAAAGTTGTCTCATAACTCCTGCAAAGAGTGGGAAGGAAGGCTAGTGAAAAACCAACACTTCATTAATCGAATTTCACTCTTTCAATGTTCAGCATACTTCAAATCGATGATATTTAATATCGACCAATCGGGATAACAAAATAAACAGAAACCATTCCACGAATATGACTTCCATTCTGTTAAACATTCGACATATTACTAGGTAAAAAGTTTATATTTTAAACTTCTTATAAACACAATTTCCTGGTATAATATCAACGTAGCATTGGTATTAAGCTCATCCAGCAAATAAATAGCACATTCAAAACAAATGAATTGATCTAAATCAAACAAGTATATGGAAAGTAGGTACTTGTAACGAACGGTCTACTAGACAAACTACAAAAAGAAGCGAAAAAACACGTCTATCTTAAAATTTTACGAGAACGACGGATGTAATTTCTGAATACTGACAATTGTTTAAGAAAGCCCTCATATAAATAAGCACAGCTGATCAATGAAGTTGTCAATGACATTTGAAAAGTTGTTCGAGTTGCACAACACAAACATCTAATCCTGTGTTGATGAATACGATATTTACCAACTGAATAAAGAAGTTCCGGACAACTTAAATCCCATAGCTGTCATTATTTAAACGTTGAAAAAAGGCAGATGGAAATAAAATTTAAAGTTATACACTCAGGTTAATTTACGCCCATGGAAAAGTCTTATTTACACGGTTATCAACCCTTTCAGTCTCTGAAATGTTGTAGACTATTCTATCATTAGAAACACATGGAGAGGACACTAAAGTGTTCATAAATATCATCGGATCTTTAACATACATAGTGACGGACATTCAATGCTTTTAGGTATTTTTCAATTTTCTTAGTGTTTTATTATGCAAACTTCCCAAAAGTATCATATAGCAATTAACTCACTTTGTTCCTATTAACATCATGAAAGACCACAAAACCCTCCAGTTCATATTAATATTACGCTACTTTCACTTACTTCACATCTTACCTCGCTCATTCGTGCACATTCTTCAACTTACCTTATGTATAAAAATATACATAGTTTGACTGGAAGTATTATGCGAACCCCGTTGTGTTCTTAATCCTACTGATTTTTCTTATCTTCGCATCCTACTTCTGTTAACTTCCTTCTGCGCTATTGCGAACTGCGACAAATGAAACTGATGCACATACATGTTAAACAGACAAGTAGACAACATAAACGCAGAGCATCTGATGGAAGTTATTCGGTTCAAGTTGCCATATTTCAAAGTACCATGCAAACAAAAATTGGACAGAAAAAGACTGATATCAAATCATACAGATGTGTATAGTAGGAAAGAGAAATTAAGCACCAGGGTTCATAAAAGTGTTCAAGCATGGGAAGACATCGAAGACGGAATACATCTGCAAAGCTGCGATCCATTTTTAGTCACGTCACCAAAGGTCCTCAACCACTGATTCCTGTCGTCTTGAGGACCCCAATCAGACAGTCTACATTGCCCCGTATGACTCAGATCAACAGTCAGAGACTTCATGAACTGGTACCAGGTCTTGGTCTTGGTCTGACCACCCTGAACCCTCTTCCAACTCAATCCAACTTCCCCTATCAGGGCACGTCGAAGTAGGTAGGCGGTGGCTCGACGTGCAGAGTACATGTTGAAGCCATCTCAGTCGACTAAGCTACACAACCTCATCAATCGACTTGTCTTTCTTGCCTTTTATCCTTCGCCTGACCTCAACATTGTTCACACAGTGACTCTACCAAATGTGAGCAATACTACGAAGACACCTATGACCAAACCCTGCAACTGCTTCATGTCTTCTAGTTCCGACGGCCATGTCTTACGACCGTACGAGAGGATAGAACGCACTGCAGAGTAGTCACTAGTCCAATGATAGGTAGATGGCTATCTCGCCAGTCGGTACCACAGATAACGCGTGTTGGCAACTGCCAAGCAAGTCTTCTGCATCAGAGCAGAGATTTCGTCAGCAAATAGAGAGTTCGGGCTGATGCAACTTCGCAAGTGAAGTGGTCGATACATTTCATCGACTTCACTCCCTATCATTAAACTGTGAGTACCTACCTGTAGCAGGCTAGTCGTGGAGCATCATCTTGCATTTGACAGGTCCCAGCGAAACGTATCCGAAATATAAACAGATTTGTGCTAAGCGCGTTGACAAGACCCTGCATTTATCAGCGTATGCATACTCTAAGTCAATCAGACGACTTTCGAGGAGTGAAGTTAGACGTACCTATGGTTAAATCTATTAGCACATTTATGACGAAGTTAAATCAAAAGGGTGAAGAACATCACTAGATGTCTTCAATTTTGAAGACAACTCTTCACGACCCCTTAAATGCTGCTTGAGTTCGAGTAGGGAGCTTTGATTGGCAAAACGTACTTGCTCAGTAATGCCTTCAGTTAAACACTATCCAGAGACCTCACGGTCAACTGAATCAACTACCGCCTTCGTGTCCCATTCATCCTCAAGCTCACTAGATGTTAAAAGACTGAAACGTGGCTGAGGGTCAAATGAACTGTGCTTTAAAGTGTTCTACCGAACGTTCTAGCTACCTGTCTTTGGAAGTTATTACCATCCCATCCTTTTCGATGGTGGTTTTACTGACCATTATATTCTCCACTGCCAGGATCCCTGTCAAGCCAAAATAAAAACCCAGTGTTACTAAACGCTGATGCCTTCTCTATCTCTCTCGCTTTTGCCGCCCACAACTGCTCTCGATCGATGCGAAGAATCGTCGACAATTTGTTTCGGCTATTTGTTGCAGTCACAGCCCATTTGAATCAGTCATCTCACACCAAACAATTCAGAAGACGTCGTGACAGTAATCCAATGACGTTTACCGACCTTCGATTGTGGGTTACCGATTGGCTTTACTGTTTTTTCTACAGCAGACCTAATATCACTCTAGGTTTCCCCAGGTAGAGCATTGCTATCCCGTTCAGATAAATGCCTAGCTAACACCCTCCTAAGTACGTACTTGGCGTCCTCATTTCCCAATCGAACACAGATGAGCCTCATTGTCTCATGTGTCCTGGGACCAGTAAGACGCAGACATACACAAGCCCGTACTAGCGCGTGATCAGAGTCTAAACTGGTGCTCTAGAAAGAACAGCAATTCCCCATCGGTCCTCTCTAACGATAGCTTATGGCAATATGATCTATCAGTGTCCGTTGTTAGTTTGAAGTCAGAGGACGCCATGTGAGACAGTGTCTCTCTCCTCATGCCTAAAATTACTTCTGGCCAGAAACAGGTGATTGTCGGAACAAAACTGCAGCAGATCACCGTTGTCGGTTCGTTGGTATGGGTTCTGTAAATAACTCCAAAATCTCTTTCCAATCGGCTTAGCTTCCCTACTTGAGCTTAAAATTCACCTGCAATTATGACTACGTCTGAACGTTTTGTTTTCTGTAGCAAGGTTCACAGCTTCTCATAGAATTCATCCTTTGCATCATCCGAACTACAGTCGGTGGGTGAGTCGGTGGAGATTGCAAATAGGTATCGTCTAGTCTCATTATCCTTCCTTGTCCTTATAGATCCATTCAGTCGAACAGCATATAGACAACTGTTTACTGGTATCCAGTTGAGGAGAACACTTTCTGCTCTACAACACAATGCTACGCTTACACCAGCGAGTCTACGAGAGCTAGCCATTGCATCTTCGGATACTCTTTTGGTGAATTTGAAGATTTACTAAGCTCAGGTGAGATGAATTTAATAACCACACTCGGGTCCTGTTTACGTGTCTCAGAGACACATAACATATATCCATGGCTGGAGATTCCAGAGTTCTGGAGAGATATGCTTAGTATCCGATTTGGCATAGAGTTCAGTTGTTGAAAGCTCCTACATAAAATCGATAACTGGGTCTTATGAGACTAATGATGAGGTTTCGATGACTTTGATCGTTGGTAATATTCGTCGAGTGAGAGGCTGGGGAAAATGAAAAAGGTTCAATATTAGTATCAGTATATAAAAGAAAGGAAGGAGATAGAGTTGAGGAAGATAAGTTATAATCGATTGGGTTTTGTGTACTACTGGAAGCATGTGAGCGGTTGACACTTAGCGGCTTCCCACAAAGCAGAAGGCTATTTTCTCTCAACGTACCCGAAAGAATAAAAGAGCCCACAGGATTTCTGCCTGAGGTCTGTCATATACAGGCTTTTGAGGAGTGTTGGTGTGAGATTTGGTTGCTCTAAGGTTGGACGGAGAAATCCTATACCATCAGAACCGAAAGAAGACCACAGGGTAGAGAGGAGTGTAATATTTCTAGGACCGAACTCTTTTAAACCCTTCGTTTCCAACAGGGAAGACAGCACCGTTATTGTACTGTTGGTCGTTCGTGGAAAACATCTTGCTACTGTCACATCCCATCTAAACAGTAGTATGACTTCGCCCTCGGACTCCTAACGGTAACTGTCTTTCGTCTTACCACTATACAACAGAGCTTTCTGTCATGATAGGATCTCGAGGGAACAAGCATTCCACCAGTATAACTTGCTCGGTCATAGCGATATGCAAGCCCAACCACCGCATAAAGGTAGAAACTATCGATTGGGGCACTTGCATGTAGGGGATAATGAAATAATATTACGCAACCCAGTACATTTTTACGTCCAATATGGAGACACACTTGTTATGTGAGCGTTCGTGACATTACAAGGTTGCAAAGATCGAAGTAGGTGGAACGCGGTTCCAACCTGCGACTCGTTGCTTGAAAGTCAAGTTTTCAAGTCAAAGAGTCACATCTTCACATTTGAAAGGTTCTACATGGATTTGTGTGACAAAAGAACATGTTTGAAAAAAAGGAGAATAGCCTACCTTGATTCGCTCATCATAGCTGCTGCATTAATAAGCAGTTCCATCTGATGATCCGTATTATAAGCCCGAGCGTACGCCACATTATCGAGAACATCACTACCGGAAAGACCATACCGCTCCGCTACTGCCAATAAACGTTCAGGGCGAAAAGTGCCCTCTGTGTCAATGTATAGACATTTGCCTTCACCACCACCCATATCAATGGGCAACTATGGATCACATAGATGAAAGAAAATTTAAGGATTACATCAAACTAAAACAGATTAGAAGTAGCAAACAATAAAATAAGGACAAAAGTATGAATAGTACAAAAATGGAAGGCAAAATTTGTAACGTAATCAAAATGCAGTTAGTAACAGGTAACATTTCCATAGTGGGTACATACTCGGTGTATTGTCTTACAGTTTAAGATTATAGCCCGCAAATAATCAGTGGCTGGATATGAGGCAGAGGTACATGCTTTGCTGTTACTATCAACCTAAGCTACAGCTATATTAACTTTCTTTTATTAGACCCAACAGAAAGCTCGCTGTAATATGAATCGGTAAACCTTCAGTGATTACAATCACCTACCTGCAACATTTTCAAAACAGAAAAAGCACAGGTATGCACATCGAAGATATTAATAACAAAGAGTAGGGGTGGTGAATAAGATATTTGATTTTTCAGTAAAACGAACAAATATCATAACGACAATAACAGAATCACTTACATATTGCTGGTTCCTTCTAATATTTTGTGGTTTATTGTGTGAATTACAACAGGTTTACACTTTCTAACACATTTCAAGCAAGTCACATTTTAAGAAATTTCGCCATGTCCCGGCCCAGCAGCTTTACGTCATTGCTCTCTTTCATGTACAAATCAGCCAGCACATTTATCTAAGGCTACAATGCAAGTAGGCAAAACTTTCGAAACACCTAACCACTTAAATCTAGACACTGTGGTTAGAAGTTAGCACAAACTCGTAGAGAGTCAGTGTGGATTTCTTCAGGTTAATCATGTATAAGAAACTGTTTTAGTTTACATTCAGTGACTACTAAGAGTGGTCAAAGTCACACAAATACGTTTCTCCCATATCTATCTATGTCTCCGCAGTCGGCGATGAAGAATAGTGAAGGTCGTCGGTACACTATAAGTGCATGTTACTTGAAGCTTTTTACTCAAACTCATACAATGTAACATGGTTATGGACAGTGACCTGAGATGAAGGAAATCGGGAGATTTCGAAATGAATAGTCAACACCAAGATTCTTATTTGACGCAGCTGCAGATATGTCAACGCGCTTGATTGTCTACCTTCGACTTTTGAGAGATACAGCTACTTACAATTTTTCTGTCTGACACCGAGTAAACAAACGATAAGTCTGACGATGACGCCTTGCAAACAGACAGAGAAACCAACACACAACCTTGTAAAAAGTGCATTAGTTCAGGTTGGAGTAGTTCACAATAGTGTACAACACGGACGTCAACAAAAGGAGGCATATGTCAAAGTAAACAAAGAACATGAGGAGGACAAACAAAGAATCGTTATTAAAAAGTCCACAAACTTCCACAATAAAAATCTATACATCGGAACTGCTGAGGCTAACTTTCGGGCATTTCACCAAGACTCCTCAACTATTCATCTTTATAATTCCGATGACTGCAACGAAGCAGTCTACCATCAGACAGAAAATTCATGCACTACCTTCATTTCAAGGTTTGACCACCAACATTTTCGGTTTTTCGAATACATGCAGTAAAGATCAAGGTGTTAGCTGTGTGCTTTACACTTATCAAGCTTAAAATTCATTAGTACTAGTCTGCATTGACGTCACTTCTGTTATGATTTGTAATCATCTGGAGCTAAACTCATAGCTTTCTCCTCGAGTATTCGACCAAGTTCTGAGCAACTAGGTAGCACAGTAACATTAGGCGCTACACTCTCCTATGGTTACTGGTGATCAAAGTAGATTCGTACATCATTCATCGTTTCAGGATCCTGAAGCTCATGAGTACTACCGCCTCGAAATCAGGGTTTACTGAATTCCCGCCGTATCCAACAACCCGGTTATAAGCACCGAACATTCGTTTGTCCCACATCATATCAACAAAGTAAGTAACAAAGCAATAAGATGGAAGATGAAGAAATAAAGAAGTGACTGAAGTCAGTAGAAAACAGTAATAGAAAGCAAGGAGAAGTGAGAAAATGTTGAATTCAAAATAACGATTAAGATGAGGATAGTGTGATGTTACATCTGCGCCACTAAGGTCCATTCCTAGTCGTTTCACCCAAAGTCTCCGACCACCGGTTTCTGTTGTCACCCAAACCGCAACCGGAAAGTTCACAAATCCCCACACTACTCAGACCAACAGCTAGAGAAAGCATGCAGTGATCGCACGTTCTAGTCTGTTTGCCCCGAACCTTTTTCCAACCTGAACCTACTTCAGCTAACATTGAGCGACGAGGCAGATGGTGACTATGCATGTGCAACACTCAAGTCGAGGAAGGTTCACAAGCGCATCAGCTGACTTTCTTCTCCTCCTACAACTCTACACAACTTGTGCGTTCCTCACGTGAAATCACTACATATAACCTATGCTACAAAAGCAAGGGTGGTCAGACACCTAGAGCCTTCTCATGTCCTCTACCTTTAAAGACCACGTTTCATCGCCACACAGTAGAAAAAAGTGGACTGCAGCACAGTACGCTCGACACCAAATACATGATCGGATATCCTGATGGCGTCATAGATGATGTAAGTTGGCGAAAGCTAATCGAACCTTTTACATCCATGAAGAGATTTCGTCGGTCACTAACCCCCAGGGTTGATCCGACTTTCTGGATAATTGAAGTGTTCAATGTACTCAACCACTTCACTCCCTGTTGTTAGCTAAGGTACAGCTGAAGACCAGTCCTGAAGCAAAAAGTCGCATTTGGTTTGTAAGAAACATCCCAAACATTCTCAAATTGTCATGTAAGGCGTTCAGAAGACTGTACATCTTCGCAAGGTCTTGACCTGACAGGACTACGTCATCTGTGTATTCTAGATCTACCAAGAAGTCTCCTTTGAGACCAGTCCCTGTGAAGTCAGACGATGAGACCTTCATAAGAACGTGTGACAAAAGTGAATAGGAATGGAGAGAGTGGGTATTCTTGACCGGCAACATAAGATGTACACAGCTCACCTGACGACTAACCATAAACACCCACGCATGTCCGAGTAAAAGGCCTTCAACAGAGAGGTGTACTTACTCGATACCCCTTTCAGTGAGAGACTTTCGTAAGATCAGACGAATACCACCTTTTTTATATAACAGCGTCTCGGCGTCATCAGCACCAACTTTAAGAAAAACAAGTGAAGTGACTGAACACCCTGGGTGTTAAACTTATTTCCGGAACGATTTCAATCCTCGTAGTGTAGCCGCACATAGTACCTCAGTAGGTTCATCTGCCATTTGCCAATCTACATCGCCTGTGGCAGAGGGGATATCCATTTGTTTATCTACATGAGTAAACGATGCAAAGTCGGTAATATTCATTTTGTCCTCTTCAATAAATGTGGCCTACAGCCATTGATTGCGGCAACATTGTGTTGAAAAGTGCTTAATGTATTTGGGGAAATCAACTACCCAGTGCTATGAATCGATGCAGTTTTAAGCAAAGAATATGCGTCAGTTGACGAGGTTGAAAACGTGGATCGGCTGAAACAAGTGCCCAACATGCACAGCTTCCATCCTCCCTGATTTACTAAACCAGTTCAAGTAGGATCATGATGGAAGTAAGGTAAGGATGGTCGCATCAACGGGTAGCAACAATGTTTGAGATGTATAAAATGGTGCACGCTATCCAGTTGGCATCTTCAACAATGAATAAGTTTCAGGTAAAATGCCTCAGAATACATCACAATGACAAATGTCTTCACTATCAACCTTCATCAAAATCTTAAATATGTATTAGTTTTCACTTCTCTAGAACACTTACTGTCATTAAATTTGTTCCATTTCTCTTTCGCAAGATAGCTGCTACCTTGACGAGGTGGTTGGGCTTGCATATCACCATGACCCAGCAAGTTATACTGGTGGAACGCTTGCCCCCTCGAGATTCTATCATGACAGCAAGGTCTGTTGTATAGTGGTAAGACGAAAAGCAGTTACCGTTACAGTGTAAATTACTACACTAAGATGGGGGTCTGCGGATAAAGTCGTACTTCAGCTAGCTGGATGGGGTATGACAGCAGTGAAGTGTGGCCCTTGGATGACCAACGGTGCCAAGCTGATCCCGTCATTCTTATGGGAAGAAGAGATCGGTCCTAGAACAACACACCCCACTCCCTTGAGGTATGCTGATGGTTGCAACACGAATAAATTGTCAGAATCACAAGAAAACACCAAAATCTCAAACTCGCAAAACAGAATACCCAGTGATCAAATGGCTAGCTCTCGTAGACTCGCTGGTGTAAGCGTAGCATTGTGTTGTAGAGCAGAAAGTGTTCTCCTCAACTGGATACCAGTAAACAGTTGTCTATATGCTGTTCGTCTGAATGGATCTATAAGGACAAGGAAGGATAATGAGACTAGACGATACCTATTTGCAATCTCCACCGACTCACCCACCGACTGTAGTTCGGATGATGCAAAGGATGAATTCTATGAGAAGCTGTGAACCTTGCTACAGAAAACAAAACGTTCAGACGTAGTCATAATTGCAGGTGAATTTTAAGCTCAAGTAGGGAAGCTAAGCCGATTGGAAAGAGATTTTGGAGTTATTTACAGAACCCATACCAACGAACCGACAACGGTGATCTGCTGCAGTTTTGTTCCGACAATCACCTGTTTCTGGCCAGAAGTAATTTTAGGCATGAGGAGAGAGACACTGTCTCACATGGCGTCCTCTGACTTCAAACTAACAACGGACACTGATAGATCATATTGCCATAAGCTATCGTTAGAGAGGACCGATGGGGAATTGCTGTTCTTTCTAGAGCACCAGTTTAGACTCTGATCACGCGCTAGTACGGGCTTGTGTATGTCTGCGTCTTACTGGTCCCAGGACACATGAGACAATGAGGCTCATCTGTGTTCGATTGGGAAATGAGGACGCCAAGTACGTACTTAGGAGGGTGTTAGCTAGGCATTTATCTGAACGGGATAGCAATGCTCTACCTGGGGAAACCTAGAGTGATATTAGGTCTGCTGTAGAAAAAACAGTAAAGCCAATCGGTAACCCACAATCGAAGGTCGGTAAACGTCATTGGATTACTGTCGCGGAGACGACAGGAATTAGTGGTTGAGGACTCTTGGTGACATAGCTCAACACTGGTCACAATGGTACAAATGTATCTACTTGACATCTAAAGCTTGAATATTCACAATAACCTTCATCTTCAGATTGTCCGTTCTCTCACACTACTCTATTTTTTTTATATTAGAATTTTTCTACTCATCTGTTTTTTGTCTACTACTGTAAACTGTGGTAACTTGAGTCGATGAATCTACGTGTGAGGTTCTACGTTGATTTTGTCAGTTAGTCAGTTTCTCTTTCAGCTCTGTTTATGTCCTTTCGAAGAGCATGTATAGTTTTAACTTCGCAACGTGACAAGAACCGTATCAACCACGTTTATGTTCATGAACTAGACAATCAGCTGTAAATATTATGTGCAAGCTAATTATACCTGGCTGCCTGGTGAACTAGGTTACGAAACCGTAAAGAGAATTCCGACTAGAACCGTATAAACCCTTTTCAAATTATTGTTTTGAGGTGCTTATTACTTTAACAACAGGATATTTACTCATAATACAAATAAGAAGCATTTTACCTGACAGGTTACAGCCAAAGTATGACAAATCTGTGTTTTTCCAGTTCGAAATTCTCCAAACAACTCTGTAATCGATCCCGTTTCAATGCCACCTACAAGAAGTAACAAAAAGAAACAAATCTGAAAGACCTTGTAAAAGTTTGTCCAACTCCTTGGAACCAGTAGTTAACTGAATAATTTCTGAACGTTTCTGATGGAATTCGGTAGCAGTTGTAAATCCAAATGGAACCAACTTTTGTGCAGCTTCCTGAAATGTAATAAGACCCTTAAAAATATTTACTATGATTTTGTCAGCCTTGGCTTCGCTGATGCCTTTAACTGCAAGTAAAGTTTTCTTTGGAACGAACTGGATACTCTCAACAGTATGAAAACCTGCTTCCCGGAGCTTCTTGATGTCAGCTGCAGCGATTCCAGCCGACTGGAAAAGAAAACGTGTTTACTTATCGTAAGTTCATAATTAAACAGAAATAAACTGTCAAGTATTGTAAATGTTAGACCATAAATTTCCAAATAAAACAGTGATAAACAAAAGCGCACTGTTTAGAACATTCACAAATACTACAGCGAATGAACACAGACCTAAAATCGATAGGACGAAAGCTACAAATAACAGTTTTGATTGCAGTTTTAGAAACATCAAAAAAGGGAGCGAAGAAAAACAATATGGAATAGAGGGAAATGAATAATGAGGTTTTAGAAATCTAGAGCGAAATAGATGCATCTAAGACAGTGACCAACCTTTGGTGATACTACTTAGTCGTTTTCATGGCCATAAAAATAATTCATCATGACATAGGCACCAATAAACGCCTGGATTGCAAATACTACTCACATAAGGACATCATTAGGGCTTATACATATCCAATCCAAGTTAAAATTTGGTTTCAAAAAAAATTGGCATTGCGTGATATTATTTTAATAATTGTACTTTCCAATGTATGTAAAACAATACAAATTTGTATTATTTTACATTCATTGGGAAATGCAACACCAAAAGCTTGCAAATTAGAACTTCTACCAACCCACCCTTACTAAGCTGAAAGGTAGTGAACAAACGTTTTGATCAGTTTAGTAGGAGGTCAACATAAACTGAGTTAATTTTGTAGCCTAGAATTCTGCATATAGAATTAGCACTTTCCACCTGGTGGTTCAACCAGTGATCAGCGACTTTTCAAACAAATCAGTGATTATCTATAATCCTAGTACATCATCCTGATTTCACTGATTACACTACATGTGCGTAGAGTAATACTAAACGAACTGCTAAGTTGCGCGCTGATCTTTTTATGGGCTTTTAAATGTTACTTAAGGCACAAGTGGCGTACGCAAGTAAAATTGATAACAACTTTCCCCATAAGTGCTAAAACCGCGTCAGCTGCCTATCCACTAGAAATGATGTAACCAGTGAAGAAATACATTTGATCAGCATATTCAAACGTTTCGCTTTCCACTTTCAGATATGACATTGATGCACACAAGCTCAGTAGTATTATTTGAAAACGAAAGGTGATAAACTCATCCCAAAAAATAGGCTCACTGCAGTTTAAGGTCTTAGTTAGATTTCATGTTTTCCCAATGCTTAGATCTAGGTGTCTTTTGAATGCTCCAAGCCGATAAAATCTTCAAAAGATCAATTCTAATTAAATCGCATGCAACATCCACAATTACATTAATCGTCACATTAAACAAAACTGTAGCCGTTCGGAAGTATGGTTGCAACGCAGTGACGAGTATCTGAGTATGCAAAGCAATTTTATCGCCAGAGAATTCCACTGTCAGATATTGATAAAATTCAGGTGTAGCACTAAGAATTCAACAACTATGTACTAAATTGTAAGATACTGTCTGGTTAAATGCTTGTGTAGCCGTGGCTCATTGGTCTAAGCACTCACTTTCTTAGAAAGTGAAGAAGGTGAGCTAGCAATGTTGGATTGCAAGATTAAACGAACACAAGACAGAAGTTTGGAGACTAGTGTCTATAGGAAACCTGACCATTCAAATCGTTACTTAGACTTCGAATCCTCCCACCCCACCCCATCCCAGTTAAAGTAGACCTAGTTGAATGCCTAAGTGATAGGGCGAAATAGCTTACTAGTAGACCGGAAAATCTACGACAAGAAATTAGGCACATCAAGAATACCTCGCATCTCAATAATTACCCACCAAAATTTATCATTAAATTCATAAGAAATCAAAAGAAAAATAGCAGTGGTAGTAGTAGTAGTAATACAGATGCTACCAATAATAATCCCACTACTAGTGGTAATAATAGCGACAGGGTTAAAAGAGAATTCAAAGCCTCTGCTGTGTTACCATACAAAGAAGGCACCTCAGAAGCATTACGAAGAATTTTCAATAGGCTGGGATTACAGTGGCATTCAAACCAACAAACTCACTTAGAAACAAGCTTTGTAGGTTAAAAGATCCTATCGATGCAATTAGGCAGAATAATCTGGTCTACCAGATTCCTCGCAATGATTGCGAGGTCAAATACATAGGTCAAAGTAGTCGACCCAGGTCGATTAGAATAACAGAGCACAGAAACTTAGCTAAATCAAGATCAGTAGATCCTAATAAGATAAGAAATCTAGAGAAAAACTCGGCCATAGCTCTGCATGCGATGACACACAATCACACAGTAGGGTGGGATAGGGTGACAGTGTTGAAAACTAACTTAGTTGGGTGAAGGGAGAGATTGATAACCAAGTCTTTGTTTATCGAATCAGCACCGAATACATGTCATCGAAATAATTCTGCACCTGTCCCAGATATATGGAAATTCTACTCTTGTCATCACAGAGGAGGGAAAATTAGGAATATATAAAGTCTGTCTCGAAGTTGTGGAGTTACCTGACATGAATATGGACAATAAATTGTGTCCGAAACGTTATCCAGTAAATGATACTGTTTCACTGTGTGATATTTCCATGTTTCAACTGTTGAGGTCTGAAATAGCTGGGTGGTACCATTAGTCCTCACGCAATAGATGTGGTTCTCTGCCTACTGCATCAGTGTGCACGCATTTACCGAGTGGCTTTCGACCTTTGATTAGTTGCTTGAACAATAAACAAATTACAGTTGTTGCGACGATACATTTATGGGCTTACTTCATAATAAAAGAATATGTGCTTAATCAGCCTGATCAGAAATTATTTGTTTGAAGAATCGTCACCACCCAAAAGCGAACTGTCATTTGTTACCAATCTAGCATTCGGTTAACGATACAGCAATATAGTCTTATCACCAACTGAAACCGTACACAGCAATGCCTGTACCTTGGAATCTACTTGAGGGTGAACTCAACTGTACTAGTTTTGTTCATATATGTAGATAGCCCTAGTGATGTTTCACAAGATTACGGATCCTAAGATCTTTAAAGTCTTGTTTGGCTGATACCTTATACATGCATTTATACTAGGTTATGGACAAAATCCAATGTGAGGGCCTATGACAATACCCAGTTGCTCATATCAAACCAGCCACAGCGAAATCGCAGCGCAAAACCCATTGCATGAGAGCTGAGCACCTAAAACAGAAGTGTGTCAATTCAAGTCTTCACAGTTCACCGCAGATAGCAAAGAATTAGGTGTAAAAAGTGATATTAAGATATAGATGGAGGTTAATGAGAATACCCAGAACTTCAGTGACAAGTGTATACATGAGTCAGTGACCGATTTCCAACCACCGATCGTTTATAGGGGTTTGGTCACTCAGCATATGCCTTGCTACATGATTCAAAACAACAGTTAGGCTCTTGTTTAGGACTCCCTCAGCTGTCTTCGAATCTGATCCTCCATTGACTTATATCGTGGAAAGTGAACTATTAAAATTACGTCTCTCCGACAGACTAATTCCTATCCCAGTCAAACTCGTAGCTTTGACCCACTTCATACAGCTATCTAGATAGGTCATTTGAACATAAGACTTCCTTACTTCAAAACACTTCAAGCTCTAACAATTTTCTAGAGAAAGTACCACTCCCCGAATTGGATATGTTGACAAATGAAATAGCACTGTTAGTATACGATGCCCTATCCATTTGCTTCCGGATACTAAAAATGAGGTTATTCAATAACGAAATTCCAGGTAACTATGACGCAGGCGGAAAATTTCTGAAACAATGGTCTTCTTGACCAATATCTTATAAATTTCACTAACATCCATCGCTTGGTTTTTAAACAATAGGAAATCAGAACTAACAAACACAAGTGAAGGCTGACTAAAGCCCCAAAATACCTTTCTTATAGAGTACAATTAGATGACCTCGAACTTCTAAATGTAGTGAGTCTGAAAACGGTGACCAATGAAGTCCCTCCTCAAAATCAAGCACAGGAAAAATGAATGGCTGGAATCTGATACGTGTCAAGCATGAGGTGTCAACGAATCACCTCATATTCAGATGGAGAGGGAGAACTACCTTAAATTCCGAAATGGCATTTTGTCGGTGCAAACAGCCTATATGAAGCAAGGCAGCAAGCTATGTGATACATATGGAGCGAACATGGAACTACTGAATATTTTTATTCCGTTTCATGTTTACATCCTATTTCTTTAACAGCTTTGCCAAACTTCAGACTTTTTAACCGTGTTGCTCCACGTTGGGTGACATGGATTCAAACTTGGTAATCTGCATGATTCCTTACAATGAAGTGGGCAGAAAATAAACACCCCTTAGATTGGCTAAAAATCACATGTATAGATCTCTCCTGACCAACTAGGATTCACTGAGTAAAAGCTTAAGCCGTACCTCAGGAGGTACAGTATCTTCCAGATATTATTAGAAATCCCTATGTGCGCCTTAAGTTTTTACTTAAAATTGTAAGAGGTACGTGTTTCTAGAGTCTCGTCAGTGCGCATGAAGTGTAAGAAGCACCACCTAAGTTGCTATTATAGAGCCGTCTTCAGGAACACTGTTTCTTTGTAATAGAATGCGTCTCCACGAATAAAACCTCTTACAATGCAAGATTTAGCAGAAACTAAATAAAAACTTGGGAAATAGCCTGTAAGTTATCGAGTATAAACTTACTAGTCATTGTGGAGTGCCCCCGAAGTATATTTGGGATGATGCTCAAGTATCGTTTAACTCAGTGCACGCTGAGTGTGGACCCCGAGACAGAGCAGCTCAGGTCAAATATATCAACGGAGACCCACTTCACTAAGCCTCTTAAAATAAGATTCAAGTATTCTGAAACTTGTATGATCTAGTACACTGGAAATATAAGCCAACTCAGAATCACGTTTAATGACACTTCAGAAGCTTCGAGCATTATCGTAAACATACTTCGGGGACACTTTTGAGCTTCAGAGATATCCCCTAAGTGTTGCGACATTTTCCGCTAAAAATCCATTGTTAGGATTTTCAAGCGAAGCTTAAACTTCACTGGGCGAATAAATAAAACTACCTCATCCCTGATTAGATGAAAGTGAAACATCCTACGAAACTAACTTCCAGCTTCTGTATTAGTAGTGGACCACAACTCTCTTCATCTACATGATCATCCACAGAAGCACTGCTTTCCTGAACTGCCATCGATAGTGCTAATAACGCGCCTAATTGAACGAAACTATCATTGTGATATGATAAAACAGTACATTGCTTTAAGTCCAACAAGTAACAAAATTAAAATCTATTTCGTTCATCCAGTTTGATTTCCATTCCATCAGTCATTCTTTTATATACATTGGCACCATATAAAGTTTTAATTCAACACTTTTGTCCAAAACAGAATCATCCATTTCGAAGCTGAAATACAATTTAGGTTTAGCTGACATTGGCAAATGGAGGTAATTGACTATGACTAACGTTGAAAGTGTGCTCAGGTAAAATCCTCAAAAATTAGGTAGGCAGTTCCTAGACTACAAACTGGTTCCTAGACTTTACACCTGTAACGTCACACACTTCCCCAAAATCAATTGCCTAGGGTTCAACGACATTCAACATTGATGCTGATCTTGATAGTTTCACTGGACTCGCTAAGCTGAAGGCACACAATCAAGCATCCTAGCCATTTGGCACGCTGCCATGTTACGTTGCACTGCCTGTAATCGACTGTCTAGCCAGTTAGTTGGAACGCATCGGTATTTTGGCACAACCATCCAAATATACTATTCCATCCGACTACGCCATCGTGTTCTTCCTTGCTCTCGTATTCGTGGGTACATAACAAGTTTGAATAATTAGTGACTGGCCTCAGCGTCTGTCAACTCCGTAACAGGATAATTCCTAAATTGGTGAGCCCGACGTGATCACATATCCCGACCAATAACAAATATTGAATTGGTTAGCTTGTTCCATTTTGTATTTGTATACTGTTTTCGTTCCCATAACATTTATATATCCATTTACTACACTTTCTCATGTCCGACCACACTCCCAAGCTTATTCGTATTAAGCCGACTACAAACACGATCCAACTCGTGCCATATTGGCCAGACAATGCAGGAACAAGGTTTCTGTATGCCGAGGCAGATTTTAAAGAACAGAGATCCTCATTCTCGATTTCTCGCTGTCATACGTTTACTACCGTGGGAATTAAACAGGTATGTCACAGCACATACGGTTAGTCCCGAAGTAAGTGATCCATATGCACTTCTCGAAGCCGCACTCTTGAAAAAAGCGATCTCACAGATCGCCAGCGCCTAGACGAATTACTTCGTAACATCGAGCTAGGCAGCCACTCAGCTGCTGAAGTCCTCGCACGCATGCGAGAATTTGTCGGTGCACGAACATTCGACAATGGCCTTTCCCGAGAACTATTTCTCTCAAAACTACCACAACCAGTGCAAACCGTGTTGGTGACACTTCAGTCAGTCCCACTAGATGACCTGGCAGCCTCGGCAGACAAAATGCTGGAGATTTCCAGCAGACCCGTCTCCAACGTATATTCTGTCTGCAAAATACCAGAGAGCCAGGATTCAGAGGTGACCGAGCTGTGCAACTCTGTTAAACAGTTGCTACGAACTCGGGGACCTAGTTTAAGTACCACTTCACAGAAACGCACGTTTGCTCATGGCAGCAACTAGTGTGGTTGCCCCAAAACCAAACCTAACAGGGTAGAAAGCACGAGATGGTGCTAGTTTCACAATACTGATGGCGACAAAGCCAGGAAATGTCGGAAACCGTGCAGTTTTAACAAGGACACATACTCGGGAAACTGTCACGCCTGCACGTGTTCACGGCAACCGTAGCCGGCGGAAACAGCCGTTTGCTCTACGTCACCGACATCAAAACGAAAGTCCGCTACCTCGTCGACACCGGCGCAGAAGTTAGCGTTCTTCCCGCACCGACAAGGGAGAGTCATCACGACCCATCCTTCCATCTTCAAGCAGCCAACGGCAAGGCAATCGCGACATTCAGGAGACAGTATGCCTACCTCAACTTAGGTTTACGTAAACCTATCCACTGGATTTTTCCTTGCTGACGTCTCTACGCCCGTCATTGGCATAGATTCGCCAAACCATTACGATCTACTCGTAGATGCTCGCCGTCGACGTCCGATAGATCACAACACAAAGTTATCTACTGGCGGCACCACCTATGTAGGTCCGAGTTTAGCCATCGTTAGAACCAAACAATCAGGCAACGCGTCCTACCAAGCAGTTTTGGAGAAATATCCAAAGCTGCAGCAACCGAAGCACACTTTTCCGTGCATAACCAGCAATGTTATGCATCACGTCACAACCACAGGTCCACCTGTGGCATCCAAAGCGCGACGTTTAGCCCCCGATAAGCTCAAAACGGCGAAAGGCGAATTCGACCACATGCTCGAACTGGGCATTATCAGACCGTCAAACAGTCCTTGGACATCGCCATTGCACATGGTTCCCAAAAAGGATAGCAACGACTGGCGTCCAACCGGTGATTACCGAAGGCTTAACGCCAAAACAATTCCGGACTGCTACCCAATACCTCACGTTTACGATTTGACTGCAACCTTATGCGGAATGAACATTTTCTCAAAATCGATTTGGTCAAAGCGTACAACCAGATACCTATGGCAGCAGAAGATATCGCGAAAACAGCCATTATTACTCCTTTTGGCCTGTTTGAATTCCTGCGCATGCTATTTGGTCTTCGGAATGCAGCACAAACATTCCAACGCTTTATGGATGATGTCTTCCGTGGTTTGAATTTTGTTCATGTCTACATTGATGACTGTCTAATTGCGAGTCCAGATAAGGAAACTCACCTCAAACATTTGGACCTCGCATTCGAAAGACTTAAAAACATGGCATCACAGTCAACTTACAGAAGTGTGAAATAGGAGTTGAATCACTCAGCTTCCTTGGGCATACCATTGACAACAAAGGTATACGCCCATTGAGAGATAAAGTGGCGGCTATCACAAACTATCCAGAGCCGACCACTGTGAAACATCTCCGCACTTTCAATGGCCTGGTAAGTTATTACCGAAGGTTTATCTCCAACTGTGCCTCTGTCATGAGACCACTAACAGATCTACTTCGAGGGACTACGAAGTTCGTGGCTCTGGACAATGCGGCTAGACTTGCTTTCTCTAAAGTCAGGGAAGCCATTTCAAATGCAACTATGCTTATTCGTCACGACCCCAATGCTCCTTTGAGTGTTGCTGTTGATGCATCTGACTCAGCGACTGGAGCAGTTTTGCAACAGTTGACTAACAACCAGTGGCAACATTTGGTCTTTTTCTCGAGGCGGCCGCAATACGTGAAAACAAGATACAGTACATTTGGTAGGGAACTCCTAGCTATGTATTGTTCTGTATGCCAATTTCGACATTCGGTGGAGGGTCGTGATTTCATTATTTTTACAGACCACAAACCGTTAACCTTTTCCCTCAGCTCGGCGTCTGACAAATACTCCCCACGTGAGTCACGACAGCTGGATCACATTGCCCAGTTCACTTCAGACATCCGACACATTTCTGGGGCAAATAAGTCTGTAGCCGATGCACTATCTTGAATGGCTTCGATAAACCATATCGAAGACGTAGATCTCGTTGAACCAGCTCGGCGTCAAAAGGAAGACCTTGAGCTGCATCATGAGTTGTTGTCCACAACTCTCAAGTTGCGACCGTGTGCGGTTGGATCAGACAAGGATAAAATTTTGTGCGATGTCTCTGGCAGTCAACTTGGTCTGATAGTTCCGAAGAGTTGGCGACGCAACGTCTCCAATATGTGCACGAACTGTCCCATTCGGGTGTACGAGCCACCATCAGTCCTATTGCACGACGTTTCTGCTGGCCTGGGATGAACAAAGACATTAAGGTGTGGGCTCAGTCGTGCTTAGCTTGTCAAAAATGCGAAGTCAGGAGACACATGAAAAGCCCCCTAGGTCCTTTTCCAGCCCCATACAAGCGTTTCGACCGTTTCCATATAGACACTGTAGGACCTCTACCAGAATCTGATGGATGCGCCTACCTTTACACCTGCGTGGATCGTTCCACACGATGGCTGGAAGCGGTGCCTATTAAGGATATTACTGCTGGAACAGTAGCTCATGTTTTCGTCGAAAGAGGGATCGCGAACTTCGGATGTCCATCTTACGTCACAACCGACAGTGAGAGCCAATTCGAGTGTGGATTATTTCACGCTCTAACTGCACTTCCAGGTTGCACTCGGTTCCGAACGACGGCCTACCATCCACGAGCAAATGGTATGGTAGAGTGTTTCCATCGACAGCTGAAAGCTTCATTTTCAGCTGCAAACATACCTCAGTGGACCGAGGCTCTGTCTCTGGTCCTACTAGGTATTTGTAACGCCTTGAAAGTTGATGCCGGATGCACCCCGTGTGGAACTCGTCTATGGGACCACTCTTCGCCCACCGGGTGGGTTTGTTTCCCCTTCAACTTTCAAACATGTTTCCGACAGGGCATCTTACGTGACTAGGCTTACAAACGCAATGCGTTCAGTTAGGCCTTCTCCGGTTAGACCTCAAATGACTGATGTCTTCGTTCACCCCAGTTTACAATGGACATCACACTTGTTTATTTGCCACGACACCGTTCGTCGACCACTTGAACCACCCTATGATAAGAAGTATGGTGTGTAATTTCTGTGAACCTACTTCACTGACTTTCGTGAGCATTCGAAGTTAGAAACTGGCAGGGTACTGAGTGTTGCTATCAGTGACACCAAAAGTCTTTGGAAAACTGGTGCACGAGTATGTCAGCCAACTAGAATTGATAGCTTACACTCCACAGGTTTCAGCATGGTTTGGGAGATTTTTGGACCCACACGCTCAACCTTCTTGCTTCCGGTGATGGTTGTATTGTATAGCACAACCCATAAGTCACTGCTACACCACTTTTCCGTGGTTGACTAGTGGTCTCGAAGCCATCCCAAGCGATATCTCCCTATCTCAAACTATGTGATCCAGCACTACTGATCAACTGCCCTACATGGACGGAAAGGAACTCTGGGAAGAAGTTGTGGAGTCGTGCCCAACCGACAAGGTGTCTTTCGATCTTTCAAAAAACTCATCCGTGGCACTTCGTTTCTACTACTGTGTGCGAAAAATTGCAATGAAGTCGAAAGTCCCCATTTTTTCTACGGGTTAGCAACTCTAGGCCATGAACAGCTGTGAG